TCCACACCTCCTTCCTCCCTCAGCTTCTGTGCTCCCTGGGAGGAAAGAAGAGGAGGATTGTCTCTCTCTCTCTCTCTTTTCCTTGCCGCATCATCATCCTCTTCCGTTTATATCCGGCGTATTAGACGATCCCCCCACTTTGGAGACCAGGGTTCAAAAACCGTCTAATACGCCGGAAAATAAGGTAAATAAAATTGTACAATGTATCATATGTATACAATACAGTATATTACTAAAGTAACAGAATTATTTTCGATCTGTAAAGAACTATAGCATCACATTTTTCTTTTTAAAAAAATAAATCAATTTTTTACTTTTTTTTAGTCATTTACCAAATTTGTTACATGCCCCTAAGTTTTACATTTGAATTATCCAGGGTTCATATTAAAATCCATAATTTTGGCCCCCAAACCTGCCTTCGATGTATACATGAGGTCGACTTGTACATGAGTATATACGGCACATTCATTCCATGTTTTGTCTCCAACAATGTGTAACGCTGTGAGAGGCCATATTTGAATGTTACCCAGTCTTAGGTTCAGGGAGGTGACCCCATTATGTGTCAGCAGACCAAGTAAACAACTTGTTTGTAAGGAAGACCTTTGGAGAAAGAATTAGCATTTGTTTATTCTTTGGATTGCTTCCCACTTTTGAAGAACAGAGCCTAATTGCTTAGGCTGCTGAAGATTTCACTTATGCAAACTGATTTGGAATAGGATCTCATTAAGCATATTTGTCTTTTACTTAGTAAGCAAAGCTTTAAAGGTTTGCCATAAATTTCACATTCTGTATCAAGTCTTTCCAACAACCAAGAGTATTTTGACTAAAATGTTTACAAAAAAAAGAGAGACCCACAATAAAGTGAACTAACAATTTCACTTATTTTTTTTCCAAAGAGAATAGCTGTAAATACTACACAACAACTCAGTGTTACACTTTTTTACTTTTTGAATTTAAAGAAGAAGAAAAATGAAGACTTGTGCTGCCCAGTTTTCAGATACAGCTAGTTTCCCATATCCACAGATTTTTTTTTATCCACTGATTCAACCATCCATGGCTTGGAAATATTCAAAACAATTTATAAATTCCAAAAACAAACCTTGATTTTTGCTCTTTTATAAAGGAATACCATTTTACTATGCCATTGTATTTAATGCAGAAGCAGCTCTGCAGCGCCTAACATCCTGCTTTGCAACAGCTGCAGAAATGTTTGGGCTGGAAGTCAGCTTGAAGAAAACAGAAGTTCTCTACCAGCCTGCACCACAGGACAAACACC